CCTGTCATCCATCAAAGCCTGCTCATTTTTTGTCAGTCTCTCCGCATCCAACCACCTGTATCAAAAGTGCTTGACACTGGGCAAAAACCGCCTCCCAGCTGTTGTGTGACTTTCCTAATTCATTGTTCAACATGAAACAAAGGATTGACCAGGACACGGGGAACATTGATGTTTTTTTCCCATCGACAGTTCAGCAGATAGTCTCAATCAGTTTACTGAATTTCTCCTGCAGTAAGTCCCCCTCAGATAGTACAGCCTCTGTCTCAGCAGCATGGCTTTAATCCTCCCTGAATGGGAAAAGACTTACAAGGCATCTCTGCAGCACAGCTGCCATGGGAATAGTTACTGGCAAAACATATGGCACTTGAAGTGCTGCACTGATTACACTCATCTGCGTTTGTAGCTTTCTCCATTAATATTTACTGACACAAAGCCATCTTGAAGGACCAGGGTACATGAAGTTGGCCAAGAGGCTGTGTGATGGCAGGTTTCCCGTTCAGGAATCCAACTAGCATGGATCTCCAACTGAAAAGATCACACATCCTGCTGTCCTGTCACAGCAGACTCATACAGTAGCTAGTGTCCCATTTTCTAAGGGCTCCATTCTTCCAAAGAACTGGAAGGAGCTTTCCAGTGACTACGTCATGACTGAGGTAGTGGAGGCAATCCCATATGATCTCTATTTGAAGGAATGGGACACTGATGCTTAAGATGTTATTAAAATCATCAAGAAGCAACATTTTACATCTTCCATAAAGAAAAAAGGAAGCTATTAATGCAATAATAAGTTACAAAATGGAAAAGCTTCTTATTGTGCATATTTTATATCTCGTATTAATTTTGGCTCAGGAAGCTGACAGAAGATGTAAAGCCACAGGAAGGTGTCGTACAAAAGCTGTGTCAGGCTGGGAAACTGGGGGGGGTGGAGGAAGTTTGCAAAACTGTAGAGTATCAAGACCATTCAGGAACACAGAAGTGTCAGGAAAACCTGCAAATGATGAACTAATTTTCCTCCAACTAGGTATCCACTGCAATGGCCAGCAAAACATAGCAGGTACATACCTAAAAAGCAGTACACTATTAGTAACATGTCCTGTGGGTTTTTTTGTTAAACGTGGCTTGGAAAATTCTTCTTCAGCACACTGCCCTCCTTTGTGACCCCGTTGAGTTGGTTGGTTGTGCTGGTTATGGTAGCATCTGTTGCTGGGAAATGAATTGCTTCCATCCATCACTGGTTTCAAACAACTCTATTTTTGCTGTATACAGTGAGGAGTTCCAGGGGTCTTGGAATAAAATATATATGAAATTTCCTAAGAATTATGTCTTTGTGTGTGGGCCTTTGGCTGAATACAGGTTTGGCAATACATGAAAAGTTTACTCCTGTGATCATAATGGCCAGTCCCTTTGAGGGATTAGAAGATGCTAGGTTCCTCTGGTGTCTCAGGGCTTTAAATGACTAGAGGATTCAGAATTTCTGAAATTGATGCCGATGATCTGATATTGCAATCGTGCTTCAGTGGAGGACTTGCAAAGGGAAAAAAGACAGACTCCCTGCAGGGAGTGCCATCATGCTGCAGCACAGATATTCTAGCTAAAGATCAAGGGTGGCACTAACAGCCTTGCTCTGACTCTCTGTTCTGGAAAGCTCTGTATTTTGTTCCTGTCTAAGAGGTAAAACGTGTGGAGTAGAGTGCAATTATAAGTTCGTAAGAGGTAAAACGTGTGGAGTAGAGTGTTTCTCTTGTCAGAAAAGCTCTCACACAGCTTTGATCAGCTATTAATATGAATCCCAGTTTGCACTGCATTATTTACTATCATATTATGCCATTCCTTCATAGAAGGCTGTCTTCATTTTCAGTGTCTGCTCTGTATTCACCTCACCTGGCTAATGCACCAAGCTCTTGGTGACACTCCACACCCCAAGCTGGGTGTAGGGTTCTGACAGCAGCAGGAGCCCATCCCTGGCTCCCTGTAACATGGGAGGCATATCTTAAACTTCTGATGGAGAAGAGGCAGAGAAGCCCATGGGAAAGATTGTATGCAAAACCAAGCTGACAGAATAACCTGTGCAGCTGGCAGGAAGCACTGACAGTGGAGGAGATAAGAGGGACTGTAGGGTATGACCTGCCCTGAGACTGGAAGCAGCAGAGTGGCCCTTCTCACAGAAAGCCTGATGCTCTTCCTTTGTGTTCCGGATTCCACACTGACACAAACGACAGGAGAAATCAAAAACTTACTTTCTTTGCTAGCATCCGATCTGCTTTTTTTTCCTCCGTTCTCAATAGTCAGAGCTAACAGCTAAAACAGCCTATTTCTGGAAAAAGGGGAAACAAGAAAATTACAGGGCAGATGCAGAAGATCATATGAAAGAAAAACACTGGATTGTTTCCACCCAAGTAATGCATGTATATTTAGATACACTTACAGTGTGCATGTAATATACCAAACCACCACCCTCAAATCGAGTAAAAAAAATCATAAATAGAGACTTTCTTCTGCAATGCATGTCATTTGGGGGGCAGTAGCTACCCCTGAACTCTCTTTGCAACTGGAAGATACTTTAGACTGGACAGTCCTTTGGTTTAACAACTGAACATACAAAAATGCAATCACTTGAGTATATTTACTCTTTATGCCTAGCTGGATATAGTTGTGCACCAAGGGAAGTAATGGGCCTGATTCTTCTCTCCCTCTCTCTCTAACCTCTTCACGTCATTTCACTGCTCTAAAGGACTCACAGATTTCAACAGAAGGCCACACCACATAATGCACTGGCTTCCATCCAAAGGTCTGGCAGTGGTGGGATGACTCCGCGGCAGGCTGTTGGTGTCCCCATCAGTGGTGCCACAGCAGAAGCTTTGCTGTTGGGCCCTTGTGCCTCCACAATGACAGAGGGGGACAGGCAGAATCACCCCTCTTGCACCTCATTACCTAAGGACCTGCACCAAATACAGCTCAGCTGAATTCAAGAGCTAGCCTCAATATGTAACTCCAGATCTCACAAAACCACTCGTACTAAGAATAATTTTCCCATCATATGTGCGGTTTTCACAGGGTGTTAATAGATCCTGCTTCGTGGCCCTACATAACCATCTCTTCTCCAGATAAACTTAGAAGTGCCATTCTCACTCTCTTTAGGAGAGAAGGCATAAAGTAGTGCACTATCAAGGCCAGTCACCACACACAGGGATACCTGGTAGTACAAAAATCAAGCTGGTTACAGAAGATCACACCAACCCAGAAACTCTGTATGGAAATAGCAGAAGGGCTTTTGAAACAGAACCTGATGACAACTTTGCAAGGTTAATGCAGAGCCCTTCAGGCTAGCAGGCATCTTGGTTTCATTATTCTCTGCCCAGGAAGCACTTATCACTATGAATTCATTGAAAATTTTGAAATACAGTAAAATGAGGAGAGCAGACTTGCAGGAAAACCTCTTCCTTTGCTACAATCTGTTCAGGAGAGAAAGGAAAGGATATTTTGTATGGGTGTGTAGGAAAGAGAGAGGTTTGAGGCGGGGGAGTATGCACAGAGGAAATACAAATACCATTGCACAGTGGAAGTGTGAGAACACAGTATCTGTATTTTTTCTAATATTTGTGCAGAGTTCATCAGTATATAAAGGAAAATGAGTCCTGCCTATGATGATGAGCGGGGGACTCGGTTAGCAGCAAGTGCTGTCTCCAGTGTGGTACCTTATGCTCTGCCAGACCACAGATTCCATAGGACATGACATCAGAGAGCTGCAATTTTGACATGTGCCCCAGGACCAATGTGGTGAAACACAGAAGAGCTTTTATGGTCACTGTTCTGCAAATACAGTTACTTCAACATTGTCTTACCATGCCACAAGTTCAAAATGTTCCCAGTTTGACTCTACAACCTTGCTTACAGTGAATAATGTTTATCCCCAAGACATTCTTTGGCTACAGTTTGTTTAATTGCAGGTCCTTGCCATCTCCAAGTAAGACAGAACTTCAGGATAGATGTTGAAAGAAGAATAGCAGATGTCTAATGGAGAAACAGACAGATTTCTGCAGTAAAATGCATGCCATCAAAAGTCAATAAAACTTATAAAAAGGCAATCTGTATTTAACTGAAAGGACACAAATATCCAGGATTTAAATACTGATCTGCAATTTGTGACTTTAACCCAAGAGACTAGCAATAGTGCCGGTAGCAATTGCATTTAATCTAAAAAAAAATGGCATTCCAGGAAAGATTTCTTGTCCGTATTTTTGTGCTACATGTTGGGATTGCATCATGCAAACATGAGATCCTGCATTGCTAATCCAGCAGAGGAGTTTTACTCCTTAGCAGCCCCATCTCTTCTGGTAAATCTCACCTGCCTCTGGAATGGTTTCCTTGCATTAATTCAGCTTAGGAATTGAAATGAAAGCAGGTTTAAAAAAAAAAAAAATCAATGAGAGGCTTAGTCAATATGACCAACCTAATGCATCAGATTGTTTCGCTCAATTACATTTCTTTTCCATAGCTTAATTTAGATAACCATGAGGTAAAAGAGGAAAAAATAGCTATATACAGTTAATGCAACAGAAGGTATCAACTGATTTAAGCAGCTGGCCAAAGCAGTTAGCAATGCATCTATCCCTTGGTTAAATTATTCTCCTAGATCTGCATAATACATGCATGACTGATATTTTTATCTAGAGCATTAAACCTAATGGCTGGTTTAGTTGAAATACAAAACAGTTCTGAACAAATTCATGAAGTTCAGAGAGCTGGTGTAGGTCCCAGAAATCCCCATCTGTCAATACGTTTTAGTGGTCCCTGTAGCCTCATACTGCAAATTCTAAACACTCTGCATTTCTAAAGGGCTGGGTACATATTGGCGGTTGCTTGGGTTTAACTATGTATTGATATAATATTCTGAAAATCAGGAGAAAATCAGTTTCAGAATCATAGATGTGATAGTTCAGCCAACTACTGCAAACAGCTAACTATAATTTTGTTTGATTGTTTGTTTTTCTTCTCTACAGGTATACCCAGTATTTCCAGTATTGGTAGTAAGTAATAAACCCAGTACTGTTTTGCGTTGTCGTTCAGCTTCTTGGATCTAATTTCCCAACATCCCTTTCTGCTATAGATCATTTTTCACCTAAAATATGCGCTGTAGTGCAGGGGCTTTTTATTGGCCTTCCTCAGTTGCATTAACACGTAACTGTACTACGTGGTCAGAGAGAACATCACTCCTGACAACACACCTGCCTTCAACCACAGATTTTCTGATCAGTAGATGAAAATGGAATGCTACAATGCTCTTATGCAGAGAACTAATACACTGTTCCACAGAAAATATTTGTTGAGAATCATTTTTTGAAAAAGAGAAAAAAGTGTTTGCTAATAACAAAAAAGTATAGGACCATTAATTTCCATGGGTGGGTGTGTAAATCTGAAGAGTAAATGTAAGAGTTTATAAATGGAAATGCTTTCATTTTCATGAAGTAGCTTAACAAATGCAGTGGATCTGCTGGAATCATTGCCTTAACTGTAGCAGCCTTTGAACTGGGCTTTACTCCATAAAAGAAACAGAATTGTGTTCCTTCACAGAAACCTGCTTTCCAGTAGACAATCGAAGCACCAAAATATTACAGCTAAACTGCAACAAAACCATAACACCGTTATGTAAAGAACTGCTCTATCAATGAAATAGATGATTAATCAGAGCTCTTCAAGGGACTAAGTGTGCAGAAGCTGAGCTATGAGTCTCAGCTGAGTTCTGTGGCTGAGCAGTGCATGCAGTCATTGCACATTAGCTGGTTACAAATAAAGCAAGGAGGTGGAAATGGGATCCTGCTGCAGCTGACAAAGAATATTCCCCACAGCCTTAGCTTTGTGGGGGCTTTAGAGACAACTTATGTGATGGAGGTCTATCACAGTGAGAAAATATCATAGCAGTAAAATGCAATTTGTCATACCTGATATCCAGCTGAAAAGCTTCTAATGATTTGGATAAAACTGTCTCACTTCTTATGATGCAGCGTCAGGTCTGTCAATGTGTAAGTCAGCTCAGTTTACTTAAGCTCATGAACGGTGCTGATTTGTTAAGCTCTAGACAGCAAGCTCAATGCTATCAAAACCAGCCTCCCTGCAAACGAGAGCAGCATTAAGAGCTGACTGCCATGGCATCTGTTTTGCAGCTTTAAAGAGCGAAACAGCATCAACAACAATAACATGCAAATGAAAGCCTTCAATCTTAATAATGTAATTTTCCTGCTGTAGAATTTCCTTTGGCGTTTGCATGATTACAAATGCATAGTGATAGGCTATTTCCAAAACCTTGTGTTTATACATATATATTATAACAACAACAAAAAAAATAAAAATAACTCAATGAAAGAGAAGAAGAAACTGTCACTGATATCAGGAATATTCCTCCAATCCATAACAGAAATGGGATGAAGGGGAAAATAGCTCTTTGGAGTCCGGTTGTGCTGTAGTCTCTTAGTACTGTGTTGCATGGACTATACGGTTGTGTTTTCACTTCACACTCCATACAGCCTTTGTCACCACATCTACCATTTCTGAGCATCAGCAGATGTTGGCCTTTGAAAACTAGATAGGGAAACTCAAATACCTTTTAAACAATGGTGACCTGAAAGGATGCATTGTTGACCTCTTTGTATTTTACATTGGGGTGATTAATACAGTTTACCTATTGCAAATGGAGAAAACTCTGTTGAACATTCCATAGGAAGTACAGGAGTTTCTGCAAGTCTCTATGCTCTAATTTGCTGTAAATGTCTCATAATAACGTGGTAGAATTCAACAAATTTCTTTGCTTACCTGGAAAGAATGAAGGATGAACATCTCTTCATAAGCACAAGTAAATACTGATAACTCTGATTGGTTTTTTCATGTGTTTTTTTCTTAAATAGCTCAGGGGGGAAATCGCTCTACTTGCACAATGTTCTGAACATCATTCCTGTAAGACAGAAATAGCAGAATTATCATTAAACAAGACTAGAACCCATAAATTTATCCTGGTCTCTGAGAGAATTTAACAGAAGTACAATTAACACATAAACCCAAATAAGATTAATTAGTTCTGGCTGCTTTAATGGATTCTGCATGTTTTCTTCTTTTGTCTATGCTAATACCATGTTTGTGTTCACATCAGCAGAGTTTTTCCCCACCTGGGGACAGGAAGTTACTCTCAGGAGACACAGTCTGGGGTTTATTTTGCAAACTCTAACAGGGGTGTGGGGTGGGGATTGTTTTTTGTGTGCTTCAAGCTTTTCCTAAAATACAAGGAGGATGGGGTTGGGAGGAGGGGTATGAAGGCTAAACTGTCAGCATACAAAGAAGATGCCACTGCAAGTGATGTCCATTTAGCACTTTTAAGATTGCAATGAAAGCAAGCAAAGAAAACCAAAATGTATTTACCTGTGTGCACATGTATGTATCATTCTCAATTCCTTTTTTACCTCAGATGATCCTGCATTAAAGTAGCTCATTGTTAAAGCTTGAACACAAAGAAAGAGTGGTCATTAAGTAAACATCCTTTCTGATCATCTAGAAGGAGAAAAAAAAAGAAAAAAAAAAAAAAACATAAGCCAAACCAGCTTTCCCATTAAGGTCATTTGTACCCCTGCTGTTGTCTATCAGTTGAATTATAGGCTCTCTAATCATTTCCAGCATTCTTGATTCCAATGTTGGCCCTTTCAGCATTTTTCAGCCATGTCTGGAAAAATACTGGAGAAAGTGTTAGCAATTAATGAGTCCCAAAACCATTTCATAATTTTAAGCAACGCTCATATACACTATGTAAATATTCTGAAAACTACATTATTTTATTCTATAAAATAATGATTGTACAATTTTTCATAGACCAATTCATCAAAATGTTTATTATTGTGACCAGATACCGAAGTTACTAATCTGTACATGTATGTCTTCAAAAAATTGAATCTTCTAAACTATAGCTTCTTTTTTCCTGTAAGACATAACTCCACTAATTATGCTAAACAGTTTTTTATAAAGGGTATAATTAGATACAGGATAGGGTAGACATGATGTGCAAATAGCTCTGTGTGGGTGATTATCACCTTAAAGCCTGCTGGTGGCAGATGAGTCAGAGTTTAGAGACAGACCGTGCACCCAAGTGCAAGATGCAATCATGATAATCAAATGGCATTTTCTGCTTTGTTCTCTCTGGTTTTGTTTTTTTTTATAGCCAATTTCAAATTAAGAGAACTTTTTTTTTCTTTTAATGACAACAAATGAAAGACACAAAAGTACAAAAAAGAAGACTGAATGGGCACTCATATTATTGTTTTCTTAACCTTGAAAGACCTAGTACATATTTTTCTGGAACTAAAATAGCATCAGGATGAGTGTGGCTGTATTCGTTTTACACATTTGTTATGAAATTTTAAGATGGTAAATATATATCCTAAAAAAATGTGAGAGCAAATACTAGCAGATTTTTTTTTTTTATTATTTTATAATAACACAAAGTATTCTGGACCTGACTTTTTGCTTTTAGGTTAACTGAGAAGTTCTCTCATTAAATTTACAGTCATGGGATCAAGGCCAGTACAATGCCAAGTGTCAGACTAGAACAGACACACAACACTCACATATGTCAGTAGGGTATAAACATCCATAACTAGGTTGTATATTGCTTTTCTATTATTATTTGAGGTCAAGTTTTACAGAACGAGCTGTATTGTTGAGAGACCATTAAGATGTTTATCTCCTTAGGATATTTAACTTCAGATATATATATTACTTTGGACATACTAGCAAAATGTTCTCAGTTCAATTCAATTTTATCCAAATATGACTTTTTAATAAATAATATTGTTAATCAGGCTCCTAGTCTAAGGCAATCACTTTATCTATGTAATTGACTATAATATCAAGCCAGCGACAGTATCTGTTTTCCCTTCTTTAATACTTCGAAGCACTCAGAATTTTTCACTTTAACAATTAGGTTTTCCATTATATTAAAATATTACTGGGCTGAAATACTGATAGCCTACCTGGTATATTGCACTTACTGAACCCTGGATCCAAAATAAATTTAGCATTCCAAATAAAAGACATCAAGTAGGTTTTTTACATTGTAGGATTCACAACAAAGCCAGTTTTCCTCTGTATAACTAGGATTTCACCCTTGAAGTTCAGTAAGCACTGCACTGACCCCAGCGCTGAGCAGAAACCATCCCTTTGCGGAGTAATTTCTAGTGCAGGATCAGAAACTACCAACACTGCTCTAGGGAGCACTGGCAGGTTGTAGAGATGGGATTTGGGGAAGCCTTTGTTTAAATTTTTGCTTTGCCAGATCCACCAATTTTAACAGATAAGAAGAGCCTTTCTCACCATTCTAGTAGATACGTCCACCAGCAGTTTAGTGTTGTTTTTCGTTCTTCCTCCCAATTTACCTTCATCATTTTCGGTTAGTTAAAAACAGTCAATCAGTCTTTTCAATGCTTTTTTGATTTGCTGTAATATAAGAGAAATCACTTAGTTCAAAGTTATCTTTATTTTAACCATTAATAAACAATCAAGCAATAGGACACTATGGAAAGACATCAACATTTCAATATGTACCACAGTTCCCATGCAAAACACATTGCACTTGCAATTTGCACTCAGGGAAGTTTATAGGAAGCTGACATGCTCCACAAAGATATTTAAAAATCTAATTATCTATAAAGTTTGGGGAGAAATTGCTGGGGGAAAAAAAAAAAAGCTGACTTCTACATTTTCCCCACTCCTCTTTCCTTCTATCCCTTAGACATGTAATCAGTTTATTTCATAGAGTATAAGGGAAGAATGAGGTTTCCAAATCAGCATTATGATTTTTAAAAAATGATCTTGATTTACTGCTCTTCATCCATTGCAAATTACTGTACAATAATCCTGGTCAACCAGCTGATTTCAGCATCTTTGAAGGAAAAAGCAGAACCAATTAAAAAAAAAAAAAGAACAAGCCCAGCAAACTATCAACAGAATACTTTGCTTTTTTTGTCATGAGAAAGTATCTAAATATTTTCTTCCAAAAACACTTGAATTCATTGTGCACTTTTGCAAATATTTTAGTGGAAATATTTAAAATTGAAGAATACTCCATCAGACCTCAGTAGTTTGAGAATTAGCCAACACATTTGTTAAAATCAGTGGACTTTTTTTCTGATGCCTAAAAGTTTCCAGAGCTGGATCATTATTCTTTTTTTTATTCCTCTAAAAAGATCAGTTTCTTTTACTCTAAGACAACAAGTGGACACGTAAAGGACTAATTGCATTTAAATTCTTCCAACAGTTATAAAAGCTGTTATGGCTGAGGAGCTGCCATAAAACAACTACATCTTCACATTTATGCAGAATTCTCCTTTCTTCAAAGGAACAGGTATGAAAATTCCTACATTGCTCCAAAAGAGATTGCCTAACTTGGGCCAAGTATTTAAAAAAAAAAAAAAAAAAAATTCTTGATAAGTTTTGCATTCTGGAATTCTAAAAAAAAAAAAAAAAAAACCATAAAATAAAGGGGTGACTTAAACCAAAACTTTTTCAGCATTTCTTCTCTTTTGATGAGTTAGATTTTGTGCTGTTATGAAAGTGCTGAAATGCAAATTTTATGTGAGGTAGGTTATCATGACTTAAAAACAGACCTAAAGAGAAAGAAATGGTGTCATAATGATAGCGTGAACTTTGCAAGAAGTGATGAAATATGATCTAATATAAACATGCCCAATTATCCCAGCATTTACTAAATCTGCCGTTGATTTCGGTGGGCATTTTTTTTTATTATTCTGAATTTTTTGTCTAATATTGACACCTTAAACTGCTATCATACATATAGCTCTACTGTGCTCTGCAGACATCTCTATTTTAGAATAGATATTTACTCTCAACCACCCATGGTTTAAAACAAGACAGTGGCAAGGCCACTTTTCTATGACTAAAACCATGGACTTCTACTGGAATTATTAAGCTTACACTGTCAGTTTTTTAAGGCTTTTTTCTGTGTTTTAAATATTGTTGTACAACAGTACTTGGTTAGAGTGAGAAATGAACAAAGTTCTAATTTCTGCCCACATCATGTTAGGTTTTTCCTTGTTTGCATCTGTCTGGTTGGAATCAAGCTGAAATGACCCATTCATTTGCATTCTTTCCCCAGTCTGAAACCATGATTTAGCCCAAGGTGCAGAGTGAAGTTCCAGTGAATATTTAAGACAGATTTTCTTTGTTTAATTTCACAGGTAATTCCACTATTGTATATCCAAACAAAGGATTGGGAGAATTAAAAGAAAAGAAATTATCACACACCTAAAAAATATCATGTAATCCATTTCCTGTTATTTCATAAAAGAAAGATTTTTTTTTTTCCAGTAGTTATAGTCTGCATATAATTTGCTTTGGAACAATAGTACCTAAAAGTCCAGAAACTTCCAATGCAAATTTAAAATGTGATCTCTGATCTTCTGCTCAGTCATGTATCTCACATACCTCTACTCTTAAAGGTGCCTACAGTAGCTTCATTTTTAAATAATAATACTAAAACATAATTTTAGAAACACTGTTTTCACATTTCTGTAGCCTTGTTTGCCCAAAATAACTCTCATGAAACATATAACAGTAGATTTACATAGGATATCTTATAGAATACCTACACCAAAATTCCTTAATTATTCTGGCAAATAATTACTTTAATTACAGAATATAGTGTCTATATATGAAACTTCTGGAAAAACTTGGTTTATCTAAGTCAAGCTCTCTAAAAATAAAATTCTTACTGGTAATCACTGAGGACTAGAAATATTTTCACAAGTTCCTGTAAAAGAATAACTAGCTGCTAAATGAATCTTCGCAGTGCCTGTTCAAAGGATGACTCATCTCCTCAAATATATTTGTAGGAATGACAGTCAACATTCTTTGATTTGGATGTCTCACATAGCTTTCTAGATAAAGCATTTAAATTCATCTCCATTATTAAAAAAGAAACAAACAAAAAACCCACACAAAACCACCAAAAAACCAGAAAATTTCAAAGTTAAAAAGAAAGACCCTTATTAAGAGACCTGTAATCTTGGTGATAAGACATCCCATGAATGTAAGGATAAGGATATAAGAAAAAAAAAAAAAAATCTCTTTACCAAAGAGTAAAACAAAACCAAAAAACAACACCTACAATCAAAACACCACATAATAGAAACATTAAGCCTCTGGGAGCATTAACCACTTAGCCAAGCAGTCCAGAGACAACAAAGACAGCAGCTGGTCTCAGCTGGATATGACTCTGAAGAACCTCATATCTAACTTTGAAGTTGACCTTGCTAAAAGCAAAGGGTAGAAACAGACTTCCAGAAGTTCCTTCTAAGATGGTTATAATTATCACTAATAACTAGTAATAATCACTAGTAATAATACTTAATAGGTAATTTTCAGGCACTGTAAATATGCTCTTTATTGGTTTGGGTGCCTATTAAGAAGCTCAGCTCAATGTAATCTAATTTAAAGGGTCAAGGAATTTTTAATTATTTTGCTGTAAGTCAAAACCTCCATCTTAAGTAAGTTTGCTAAAATGAGCACAGATTTACAGCATCTACAGGATTACTAAGAAATATATTTAACACTGATTTTTCTGTCATACTAGTAATGATTTTATTTGGACAAGAGATACTTGGGGAAATCATAATCAGGATAAGATTACATGTGAAATATTACCGATTTTATAAATCACATTATATTAAAGATCTGATTTCTTACATAGGACCTACAGTTTATTAAATGACAGATAATCTAGAAGGTTATTAATAGCTTTACCCTTATTACTCTTATTTCTGGTAATATCTAGGCCATTTCAGTTGAAGACCACTGTGCATGTGAACTTTTGTAGTAGGTGTGCAATACAATGTTCAACAACAGAAGAAGGATATTGAGAGATCCAGTCTGAAATCTTACAGGTTTTCTGCAACAACCATGATGTTGCACAATGGTTGAAGGAGAAGGCGGCTCAGGGGACAGCAGGACAATGTAGTCAATAAAAATTGCTTTTCCTTTTTTACCTAATGATTGTTATATGTATTCTCTAATGTCTAGTCCCTTTAAAATCTTTAAGTCAAGACTAAGTGTTCCTAAATTGACAAAAATTGGAACAGTGACTTAACTGTGCAGGTAATTTGTCTGTGTCTGTTTGAAACTTCTTTATTATAAACAGTCAGTCTTTCAGGAGGAGGAGGAGGAGGAGGGAAGTGGCCTCTTAGGGGCATGGAGTTAAGAGTCTTTCAGTGAGCTACAGTTATCACACCACATCAGGAACTCTGGCTTTTAGATACCTTCTTTCATAAACTCTGACTATTGTGTTTGCACTTCCTATGTGTGTGAATTGGTGGATCTGACCAGTAGAGGCAGCTTATTTTTAATCAATACATGGGCTGTTTGAGAACCTACCAAACTGACTCAGTTTTTCTTACTTCTGTTTTCTTGACTGATAAGGAAAAAAGCATCAAGAGTATGATTTGGCTATGTGATTATATCACAACTTGACTGATTTAATTGCAGAAAACTACCTAACAGTAAATGGCACAGTGCAGGTCATCATACTTTCCTTGAAGTGTTCTCTCTGTGGGAGGACTTTTGGAATGGCCAGCCCAACCTAGCCAATTTCTCTTCATGCTTGACAAATGAGTCAGAAGATACTATGGGATATCCTCCTTCCATATCAGATGTTTGAAGCCAGTATTTTTTTGTTGTAGCTTCCCTGCAGGTCCTCCACTAAGATGAATGTAACTGTGAAACACACCTTTATCAAAAAGACCTGTGAGACACCTTGATACTGACCAAGTTGTGCAATCTACTCACTACCCAGATGAATTCCTTGTAGGCAAAAACGGAAGAAGAGCATTCTCTCTTCTAATATCACCACTATGTAGGCTGATGTGACCATTAAAGAAAATTCTGCTCAGCTCAGAAAGGACACAACAACTAACTGCAGTACTCACAGAAGATGCTAAGAATGTAGTCCAAATCTAATGTTCAAAACTAGGCAGATGGAAACAAAGAAGATATAACAGAAAAACAAAGAATATAAATAGCATTTCTCAGATCAGGGCCAACAGCAAAGTTTTCTTTCCTCCCCCCACAACTCCATCCCCTTCACTCCACCCTCAGCACCATTCTGCTAAGGGTTATCACTCCCGCAGCCTCAAAACACATCATTGACCAAAGGACATCAAGCTCTAAAGAGATATAGCTAATTATTTTGCTGAGGGACAAAATTCTTCATTTAAGTAACACATGTAGGGCTTGTAAGAAATGTAGACATTTAATGTTTTTATGAAAAAAAAATGAAGCTGTAAAATATGTCAGCAGAGGTGATAAGAAATGGATAAAACACAGAGAAGTGTGAGAGCAAAAGAGAAGGCCCACTCTACTGGTAAATATATTTCTTCTGATAACAGAAGTATAATTCATTCAAAAAAGGCCCTAAAACAGGATGTTACGGTAAGATATGTATCTTTGGTAAGAAATCCATATTTTCTCTGATACTGTAATTTTATCTCTGCAGAACAGATTTAACAGAACACGTTCCAGTTTTGTTCCTGGTGTTAGAACCATAAATATTGGGCTAGGATATCTTCTCATCACAAAAAATTATATTTCAAACCACAGAAGATAAATTGTTATGCACACTATTTTATGTCTATTTGGTGTTTTGGGAATCATCAATTGCTTGTTTTCTTGTTCACTGTGGAGTCATGTACTGTTCAAGTGCAACCTAGACTAGTCCAATAATGGATGTTTGTAACCTATGTCTTTGTCCATATGCTTGCCTGTTTAGAACAATATCACAGATGTAAATAACAAAACCTGATTTTTCCTGATACATGCAGATCCTCCAAAGTTTGATAGGATATGGCCGAATATTTCTTCCCTTGAGGTTTCTAAACCAAACCAAGGTAGGCTGCTGTAAAATTCCTAGTAGTCTAAAGTTTCTTAAATTGCTTCAAGGAGTCCCACATGGTGGAAAAAGTAGTAACAATAATAATCCAAGTCATTTTTCTTCTGGTGCTAAGTATTGCTGTGAGAAAAAAAGCATAAAATAAACCTTACCTGAAAAGGGAGTCTTCCAACACTCAGACTGTGCATATTTCTGCGAAAAGTCTGGAAAAGCAGATGCACAGATCATAAGTACTGATATTCAGAAAGCCCTAGATAATGTTGGACTCATTTAGACAGCAGTCTATATTTGAAGTAAGTTCTGAGATTTTTGAATGAGAAAGATTGTCATTGTCTACGTCAAACCCATTATTAATGTTTGTTTCCACTTTGTTTTCACAAGTGAGCTGAGAACTCAGCTTCATGCTATCACCAATACAAGCAAATTCTCTGCAGGACACACTCATAGTCTTCTATAATTTCAGTGCCATGCAAAAAATTACTCAAAGAGTGTGGCATGATGATTAACATTGAAAAAGACAGAATGACTTTTTAAGATGACTAATAAAAGTAAGATTCTTTGTTATTACAAGTTGTGTTGAGCTGTACCTCACACTTCAAAATGATTGTTCTCTATAAATGATAATGTTCTTTTGTTCTTCTTATTTACTGCCTTTTACTCGCAAAAATTTCCCTGCAGAAATCTGACCTGTGGCTTGCTTTGACTGTTCAAAGGGAGTCCTTTCTGTGCTAGAACACACACAGATGGAGAATAAAATTAATGAAAAGATGATGTAGAATATAGCCACAAAACTCAAGAAGATACATTTGGAATCTGCTGGGGAATTGCATTGCAAGGGCTGTAGTTAAATCCATAAAAATATTTAGCCCATATTGTATTTTCCAAGCTTTTGCCTGTATTTCTTAAACAACAAAAAGCCCAAGCAACAACAAAGCAACACAAGCAACAACAACAAAAAAAGTCAGATTGATCTCTGCTCTTCTGCAAGGATTAGCCTACATTATTCACATGAATTTGAAATCAAAAGATTCCAAATGAAATGATACGTAGTGTTTCTAATGGATTTCATAGCTTAATTTTACTGCTTGTGATCTAACACAATTTCATTTCAGAATACATGTTGAACAGCACAAAATTGTTCAGCGCTTCTTCCTCAAAAATAAGAGTTTTAGTTAAAAATTTTGTTTTGACATTCTGTTAAGGAGAACAAAGCACAAAATCTTGCATGCATTTCTATACAGTTTTTGTGTTTGCAGCATATTGTTACAGCATTTAATATTTATTGTAGATTAAATACTTCATTCAAGGATAGTGTACGAAGAGAATAATTACAGAACTCTCCCTATACCTAATATGATTTTATTGTATTTGTTTATGCTATTAGGCCAGAATACAAACAAAATACAGAATACCTAGAAATTTAATAAAAAACTTTTCAGACCACTCTGGTTACCATATAGTCATTGGTCATGGATTGGGAGAAATCATCAGATAACCTCTAACACAAAGTTGCCTAAGTGTGTAGATGTCAATTACTTGCCCTTTTTTCATATTGGATATTATAGCTCAACTGATTCAGTAGTTAATAGCATATAACTCCTTTTCCCTAACTTTCCTTACAAAACCATAACCATTGTTAATTTAAAGTTTAGAAAATAAAGAAGCTTATTTTAATCTTTTCCTTTGTTCCTAATGATATATTTTCTAATTTACTGTTCATTTTATTACTTATCCAGTTGCTCCCAAATTAGCTATGTCAACTGTTTCTTCTGTTCAAGTTGCAAACCACAAGAGAGGTAGGAATTCTTGGATTCATACAGTGATTCCATAGTGCTCTGTGTTGTGAAAACATTGCACTGTATGAATCTGGAATATCTGTGAAGTGTACCCATCAGCCTACTGGTGAGGCATCTTCATTAACAACAACAGGAGCATTAAGTCACTTAAACTTAAGCCATACAGAGAAAATTAATATACTTCTTAGTCACTGCTGGCATACAAAGGGACATGGGATTTGTTTTTAAAGGAGTTAAATGTATGAATGTGGCCATTCAGATTGCTGCCTCAAAAGCAAATGTTTGCTAGAGTCTTGTTTTCCTCACCAATACGTATAAATTGTAAAAGAGTATACATAAGAAGAGTAGTTGAGGGCAAATAATACATAAAATATCAATTGTCCATATCCTCGAGAAGCGTCTGTAAATGCCATGGAGTATAATGCATAGTTACGTCTTTTAATTCATTGTAAGTCTACCTTGTGTCTTCATTTTATTGTGACAGTGTGCAAATTCAGTGTAGGCATTACATTTTGGACTTATGTTCCAGGGTTTTATCAAAAGAATGGAATTATATGGGCATAATGAAGGATGCCAATACTTCCTTTGACTTACAGGCAACCTGTTTCGTTTGCATATCTATCATTCACAGTCTGAACACTGAGATCTCATTGTTTTTCCTCATTGATTTATCCATAAAGACTATGTATGAAGATGTTTTGTCTTTTTGTAGCTATTGTGAATATCTCATTATTCATGAAATACATATTAACAAGGAATGGAGGTATTAACAAATGCTTAACTTAGTTTGACACATTTTATGAGGTCATGAAAATGATACAGACTGTTATGAAACAAGTAATTTTTAAGGTTACAAAGATATCTCCTTTCTTTGCTTTTTGTTAGTGTATACAGAAGGAACACAGAATTACTGGAAAATGAAAAAATATTTTAATGATTTCTGAATGCACTTTTCATTAAATACTCTATGTGATTTTATGAGACAGTGATAACTGTCTCATGCATTACCTGTCTTAGTTCAAAAATTACATTTCCCTCCCATGTGTTTACACCATGTTTTGTGGGATGACTTTTCATGTTTTATTGGTGGCAGCTGAAGCTTCACCCGAACTTTGTCCCCACAGCGCACCACATCCCTCACAGGCTTCCCAGAATGTCATCTCAAATATGTGAATGCATATCACTATAATGGGGAAAAAAGTATTATAGAAAGAAAATAACTCAATGATCAGTCCCTTCATGATCCTCCTTCAATGGGTAGTTTTGTCGTGCTTTCTACAACAGGATCAAGATAGTTGCAACAGAATCCTTGCATTGGAAATAGTCTTTAAAGGCTCATACAGTCAGTCGTGTGAGTTGGCAAGGGATTTGACAATTCCTGAATCATACAAAGACAATTATCAGACCTAACACAGATCTGTCTTCTCCCTTTTTCCTTTACATTAAACCTACCTAGCTATCTTTACTTCTCCTTTGAGGCTTTATTTTCCAAACCATTTACTCCTTGCTGTTATTCAGCTTCAAACTCTCTCCAGTTTATCTGTGACTTTTCTGACATGTAGTACTCATAATTGAAAGCAGCATTTTCTAGCACTGTAAGCTCATGCCATTTCATTGTTGGGAAACTACTTGCAGCTGGATTTCAACACTTTTTCCCCATCTCTTTCAGTGATTGCATGGCTTTGCCAGTGTATGAAATTTGTTGGGCTGCTAGACAGAAGCATGTGCCTAAAAACCTTAAGTTGTGCATCTGACAGTTCCAATAAGCAGGCTACTTTCTGGTCTTGCTGGGCTGGTTTAGTTGAACCACGAGATAAGCTAGAAAGGCCATTCCGCATCGATAGGTGTTAGCTTCCCAGCTAGCATGATGCTGAATGCATTTCTACATGCTATGTTTGGCTGGTTTAGGGTAGTACCTCATGCAGCCAGTGGAGAAAGTAATTCCATTTCAATCATATGAGGACCCTTTCACATACCTTTTATAAATACAGGGGGATGTAAAAACGGTTCACTGATCAGGCAAACAGTAAACAGATAAGTTAATACGATTGCACTAGCAAAATGAGAAGTGAGGCAGGAGGGAACCAAAAAAATTCATTTGTTACTTCCCTAGTGTTTCACTGCTAATCTTTGATCAGAAGTTACACTGGTTTTGAGTTAACCGAGTTTTTTTCTACTACACCATGTAGTATTTACCAGTCTGACAATCAAGATTCCTAGAGCTTTCCTGTGTCCTAGTAGAAGTTAACTTTGAGGCAAAGGCTTTCACACAGCACTGCTGTTACAAGAGAGCAATCAGTACCCATAGGAATGCAACCGTGTTCAAGAATTGATCTCATTGTTTACCTTTAATATTGATGAGGCACATTTGAACTTGGGTAGTCCATCTGCATATGTTTAGGAGCATGTGTGTACATCAGATGAAGTCCTTTGTACTATTAGATGTTTCTTCAGTTGAATTCATAACCTGGAGCAAGCTTTGTTGCAGAGTGGATTACCTTATGTGCAGCTTTGTTTCTTGTGCTTTTGTAATGGCTAATTATGTGTAGCAGTAATATTATTAAAGGTCATATTACATGTTCAGAGTGGAAGTAGTGCAGCTGTTCATTCACTGAATATTCTCAATTTTGTCCTGCTACTTTAAACACAAAAGATGAACTAGCATCATCTGATTTACTGGCACTTCCTTACATTCTGTGTGTTTTTGAAACCTTAAAAATGTCATTTTTTGCTGCCTGTTACTGATTTTAAAAACAAGGTAAATAATTTATACTCTTAAGTTCACCTACATGATTCTATTTAGCCACAAGTTTGCCAAACATACCAGTACAGGATCTTCTCACCAAAACAAATTGTCTAATTGTAGCAGAAGACAGGTCCTTTTTCAGACAGAGAGACTAAGGCAGCATTGATTTGGAAGGATCAGATTGCTTATCACTAACCAGTCTGTCTTATTTTTAAAATCAAACCCATGAAAACTTAGAATCATCATTTTCCCTCTGACTCCTGTTTCCTAGTGCTATTTTCCACTTTTTGGTCTCTTGTCTCTTCCACACACAGGCAGTTTTTACTTGAGCAAGATGGATATACTCGGGGGAAAGTGCTGCTGGGCTGAGATGCTGAATCACACTGACCAGCTGCAAAAGACAACAAACATTAACACTTTTTTCCTCCCCACTCAATTATGTCAAGTGGTAACGTAGTGAGACCGATATGCCAAATGTTTTACTGTACTCCAGTAGCAGAGGCATCAAAATTATCAGATTGGCCATGAACCACAAAACATTGGTATAACACTGATAAGAACAAGAATGCATATATGTTAACTGTGTATATGTAAATTGAATTAACGTTTCCTGGCAGCAGAAAGGCAGCTTTCAAGTTCAAAACATATGTTGTGCTAAGAGCTGTACAGTACAAGAAAAGATGCAATCTATTTACAGTCTGCTCCATCAGACAACAATCAAAGAAAAATATATGTTATTAGGTGTGCATAACTTATTCATAAGCATGTACTGGTACTTTTATTTCTTTACAAAAATACAGAGAGACACAAATACTGTATCTGATGCCCTCTGACACCAATCAGTGGGCTGATTAGGTGCCCCAGCAAAATCAGCAGCATACAATAGGAAAACCAGCACAGGGGACTTGGTCCCTGTCATGTACTGAAACATTTTACACCCTCTGCTACTGCTTTATCTAATTGCAGGCTAAGTTAAATTCAGGACCTTGAAGCCCTTCCAAGTCACTGCATCCACTACACTCCTTTACTTCAGGAAGCATACTGTAATCTGTTTCACCAGTTAATACACTACATCTCTAAAGCATCAGTGGTTTTGCTTCAAACTCAAAGAGTACTTGAGAACCTCAGTGCCCTAATGGCTAGATACCATCTCCTAATTTCCAGATGAAATTTCTCAATGGCCAGTTAACACCCATTTGTTCTTGTGCCAGTGTTGTCCATTAGTGCAGATATTCACTTAGGATGGCTGAAAGCGATCTTCTTGATGTATTTATAGCCCAGTGATATCCCCTGTCTTCAATTTCCTAGACTAAACAAGCCAAATTATTCTGGCCTTCACTTTTTCAGTAGGCTCTCTACTTCTCTGATCATCCTAATAACCTTTCCTGCATTCATTCTGGGCTCATAATCTCAGAGTTGAGTGATCAGACTTACGCAAGCTTTCTACACAAAGCGTAGCTCTGTCTTTCTGTAATGATATTGATAAATTTCTAATTTCTCCTCCTTTCTGCATAAAACCAAGCATTGCTTGTGACTGAAGACTAAAAGGCACTATGTTTAATTAAGGGTTTTTTAAAAATCAGCTGTCATACAAGCCGCATTTCAGATGGCTGCAGTAAGCGCGATTTCTATTCAGTACACATTTCAGAATTTTCAATACCTCTTCCAGCCCAACTGTTTTTTATCTCAGAATATAAAAATGGGTTAATGCTTACCTTAGAAATGCAGTAGAAGTAGCTTTTAAGTAACACCTCTCTTCCTTCCTTCCTTCCTTCTCTTCTCTGTTGTTTTAGGAGGTGCTGGCCAAAATGGTCAAACCGGATTTGTTTGGTCTTGAAATAAAAGAGTCTGGCTCCCAGTGTGCCTACCAGTTACAGCACCCCGAGTTCAGCAGTATTTTTCAATGCTCTGTCAGAACAAAGCTTTTAATTTACTTACAGTTGTGGATTTAAGCATGATGAAGCTTGACAATTTTGTTTACTGTATTTGATACTTTTCAAATGAGGAAGTTTTTCTTGGGTCTTGATTTGTACTCGTCTCAAATGTGCAAAGAGATGTGGATTTCTATCAGCGGAAACTGAGCCTCCAGTACCCCTGAAAGGTTTACAACTGCAAATGCTTCAGTTCCATCAGGTCTGCCAACAACAGCCAACCTTCGACGTCATGCCATGGTTGTTGGGTCACACTAACCTGCCTGAAACAAACTTCACTTCCATTGCAGATAAACATCTGCTGTTGTCCGTGTTACATTGATTAACATGTATGTGCCATTCATTCATTCTTCTATTCATGGTTCATTTCTACTAAGCATGTAATGTGCTATTACTCTGCTGCTGTATACATTTTGTATACATTTCTGTTCTTCCTTGAAAGACTGCGAATGCTTCGGGCACTCCAACCGGTGCAGTTACATCGAGCTGCTCAATACGGTCATTTGCGTGAGCTGTAAGCACAACACTAGAGGTCAGCACTGTGAGTTATGCAGGCTGGGCTACTTCAGAAATGCTTCTGCAGAGCTGGACGATGAAAATGTGTGCATAGGTCAGTCCCGGGATAACTGCGGCTTTTCTTCTGTGCCTTTTCAGCTGCTGGCAGCTAGCTGCTAGAGACCACCGCTGCTTACTTGCCAGTTGAGCCAGAATGAGCTTTTTCAATGGATGAGAACATCTGTGTAGACTTTTCACCTCATTTCCATTGCCCCTGTAGCCCTACGGAGGTATTTTGAATCTGTATGTGACAATGAACCTCCTTGGTTGAGGGTCCTGGGAAGACTTTCCCAAGAAACTGATAATGCAGTCCTTCTGCAGGAGGGAGCCATGCTGGAATTGCACACATGAAAACTCAGAACCACCCGTTCCCCGTCTAACTTTCAGAATTACTAGTGCAGGCTCTCAAATATTTGGCGGGAGACCTACAAAAGTTGCCAGCTGCATCAACAGGACTCGAGGAGTCACATTTATTCACCCCTTCTATTCACTCAAATTTCATAGAAACTTATTGCAACTTAGTGTTGCAGGTAATTCTGCTCCCAGGCACAGGGTGTAAACGCAGTGTTACCTCCCCACTCCATAAAGGAGGAACTGTAATTATGCCCACGTGGTTAGGAACAGAGTTTGTAAAATCAGTGTGACTTGATGTTAATTCCAAAAAGGGATTCCTAGGTGAAAACAGTGCTTTAGACTTAGCATCTGCTATAAACATCCAAAATGCAGAATTAAGGAAAAGGTCAGAACATAATAAGAAAAGCATATTAACAAAACCAGTAAGAACTTTATCACACTAGAAGAATATGCGTTGTTCTCACGTCACCACAAACAGCATATAGCAAATGTTAGGACACTAGGTGAAGATTTAATGTAGTCAATAAAGGAAACCTCAGACAATGGCCAGTAGTTAACAGGTAGCCACAAAAGGTGCTGTTCTAATAACAGACAGAGATGGAGAATTTCATTATATGAGGTTCCCTATATCTGTAAGCATTACTAGAACCTGTTCTGGATTTTCACTGTGATTTCTTTTCTTTCCATTTTCCAGGAAGCAAGAAGAAAAAGTAGTTGCAAGATATTTTAATGCTAAAATACAGTATGGGTGAATTATATTTTAATATTCTGTATAATCCATTGCCGAGATTCAAGCTAGAAACTATTTAGGTTGCTGTTATTTGTTTCAGTCTGCAGTGTGACAGATTTACATTTTATTTCGTGATAAACACCCAGGTCCATCCACGCACTGCATTTCACATGTCCTTTTAACTTTGCTTGGCAACACATTCAGAAAACGCATGATCTTGTTTGACATTAATTAGTCTAAGCTAATAAGAAATTTAGTAGGCAAGTCATGATTTTGTACAACTGTGCTGAGAAGATTAACCCAATCAAATGTTCTTGGGAAAAAAACCACCGTCCCTCATATTTGTTTGATATAGATGATGGACATCATTGGTATGACGTCAGGGCTGCATAATTTCTGCTGCCTAAATAGTACTAATGAATATGACACTAAATTGCTCTACTCAGGATTTTGCATCAGCTCGCTCAGTAAGTTGTTTTCCCGTGTACACTGAAATGCTAAGACAGCAGCTGTCGCTACCTAAGACAAGGAAGTTAATAAACCAGAAGTCAAAAAATAAACAAACTTTAAATTAATTTGCAGGTTTTGTATTTAGAATGTCTTAGTAAAACAACTGGGCATTTCAAAATTGCTCAGCCTCCGCAGAAATAAAAGTTTAAAAACCTTTCATTTAAAAAGAGTCTTAAAAAAAAAAGAAAGGTAATGTTATACATTCACTGACTTTCTCACCTTAAGGCAAATAGAATTCTCTTCAGCTCCTATGAGAATTGTACCATGTGAGATGACTTTAGGATCAAACCCTGGTTTGCTACATGTTAGGTAATTTCTTTTAAATAAATAATATTCTTGTTGGACCAAGATAGTTTTCAAGATCATATTGACTATACTGCATACAAAAAGTATGTATCCTAGCTGAATTACCAACTTAAGAAGACTTTCATACTACTTCTTGTTTCAAGTCAGTGAAGTGAACGAGATACCTAAGCACTTTTCAAAAAACAGAGAAGTTTGTGCTTAAAGCACTTTCCTGAACTGGGGCTCCTAAGATTTAATTGGGCAAAATGTAGAATATTTTCACCTCTGAGAGAGCTGATGGATTCGCTGTCCTTCTAGGTCAAGCACAAGGAGTCTTGCTCTATTGGAAACGCTCATTTATCTTTTCTCTGAGTTTAAAAGCAGTGTTCTGGGTTTTAAGTATGAGTGAAATGTTGGCATGAACATTTTAATAAGCAGATTTCCAGTGACATGTGCAAGTCTTATTCCCATAGGAAAGTAATTTTTCCAGGCTAATTCTTTCCTCTTTAGCCATATATGTAAAAAAGTAAAAAAATGTTTGGATGAGCTAGCTTAATAGCAGCTAACAAGGCTTTGGCTCTGATTTATCAAAACTACTTATATAGTTTTCATAAATATATATGGTAAGTACATGGATAACAAACCTGTGAATCTTAGCGGATGCTAACTAAATGGAGAGAATGTAAAATGTTTCCTTTTTAAAAGTGACAAGTTACATAGTATCCAAATACTGAGAAAGTTTTTACCAGTGAACCAGATGCAAGTCAGTGGGCTTAAATCTCATTTCATTATGCCTTTAATTTCTTTAGAAGCAAAATAAATTTTATTTCCTAAAAGGAAATATCACAAATTTTTGGATTTGTCAGTTAACTGCAAAATTACCTCGTATGGGCAACTACAGTTTCTAAATAAATCAAGATATTTTAAAGCTAAAAATCATTCACTTGACATGCTTACAGTGAAAAAGGACTGAACAACTTGAAGAGATTTCTCTTTCTACAAGGTCTTGGTAAAGTCCTAATAGCTTTTTATTTCAGTGAATATACACACTGACAAGCATGGATAGCATGTAAACCACCAAGTAGACCCAGAGTAATAAAACATTTCCTTTCCCTTACCACATAAATACTGAAATGGTCTTTATTACATCTACAAGAAAGCCAACCTTGTAGTCACTTAAGCCTAAGCTTTGATTAACAGCTGTGAGACCTTTAGAAACCCTAATGATAATATGGTTAACTGAACCCTGAGGGTTGCCCTGTGGCCACTGTCAACCCAGACTGATAAGCAGCAAGCCTGCGAGCTTCCGCTCATTTTCCCACTCTTCTTTGATACTTATTTTCATTGTGTTTTGTTGGCAGCATCACACTGATGTAGTGAATCTGAGTGAAGAGATGACTACTACTGTCATCTTCCTATCCTTCAAACAATCACCAGATGGAGTTTAGGAGGAAAATTCCTTCCCAGTTGAGATGTGCAAGGGTTGTTGCCCCCACCCTGGAACCTCGTGTGTGGTCTGCTTATTAGGATGATCTGGGAATGTTATTTTAATGCTATTTAATGCCTTGTTGTAAAGACAGTGGAGATACTCACTGCCTCCCTGTTGCACACTGGAGTTGTGGGATTTGAGCTGGTCAAAGTCTTAAGTACTTGGAAGGTCATAGGTTCTACAGCCTGTGATACCGTGTTGGACAACGTGCTTGGATGTCCAGTGGACATCTGTATGTTATATACAGTGCTAACGATTGTGTATTGGGAAAGACGAAGGCTAGATCTGGTTACTAAAGTTTACTGGATCTGTTGGGTGTTCTGATTTGATTTACTACTTTTGTAAAAAGGCCTGGCTTAAAGGTTTATTTACACTACCTACTTTCCCCTAAACAGCACAATATGGTCCTGATACTTCTTATGAGTTCAGTAGGAAAGCTCACATCGATTCAGGGTCAGGTTTTTGTTCTCTGCAAAAATATAACGTTACGTACCTATTACACTCAATATCCTAGGCCATACATTTCTTTCACAAACACTTGTTTAAATCACTGTAAGTCCATTATGTCCAGCTAAGCTATTTTTACTGTACCAGAATCAGGCCCTCTGCTCTTACTGTAATTCCAAGCTTTTTGTCTTTCAAGGTTTTCTATAAACCCTCTTCAAGCAAATTTTACCTCCTGCATTGAATGTTTTTCAGTTCTGTGCTTGTTTACATAAACATGTCATACATCTGATTACCATCAGAATTGCCAGCTTTTCAAATGGCACTCACTGTGCTATAATTCTGCTCAGCCTTGCACAGTGTTTTTGGTGTGTCAGCTTTCAACTCCATTAATGAATGTTGCTAGTTAATTGACTCTATTATTATCGTGGAACTCTGTTTGCCAAAGGTAACTATTCTTCTTCAGTATGCCAAATGTTCAAAGTGCCATCTGTAATTTATAGTTAACACTGATACAACAGATGACAAATGCCTTCCTGGTTATTTTTTTTCCTGTTGCAGTTTTTCCACTGGATTTTTTTAATATTTTATTTCCCTGTTCACCTCCATCTTGTCATTTACAATATCACTGAGGTTTAACCTAATGCTAGAAAGCAATTGAAAAGGTAGCCATCAAAGTAGCACCGATTCACAGATGTATAAAGTCAGGCTCCCAGCAGGTTGCCCAGATTCAAGAATCGATTTGTGTATCTTTTCCCTTTGATAGCAGCAGAGATCAGATGCTGCCAAAATGTGTCTGTGGTCTCAGTTGACAGTGGAGTTACTCTGGGTCTACATGGGTCTACGTACAAATAAGATCGAGCCCTCTGTTAAAAAGCAAACGAACAAAAACCCAAACTGAAGAACGGAAGTGCCAAAAATGAGCACTTCTCGCTACTGTCTTGTCTTCTTTGTTCAGCTAGTTCTGAAAGCTGAACATGGGTATTGTAATCACTTTAAAGAAAAGGGATGTGAATTAACAACACAGGAAGTGTTGTGGGAAGAAATGGTTTACCCTAGTCATTTTCTAATCAGGTGAACACATGCGGACAATATACAGCAGGGAATGAGCCTCACTGTATTTTCCATCTGCCCACTGGGAGGTGAGAGAAATGAAAATGGCAGCGTAAAGCCAGTTCTGATAAGATTTGCATTACGGCACTGCTCACCTCAAGCTTTTCACTGTGGAGTATGTGAAAGGTTTGTTAACATCACTGATAAATACAATCTCATCTATTTAATGGCAAACAGCCACAGAAATTATTATACTCCTCAAAACTATAAAGGAAGACTATCTTGGAAATAAGTAAAGTGCATTTATATAGCTCTGTGAAGACATTCAGTAATTCTGAAAATATTGAGTAATATAGATAAGCCTGTTTTACTAATGGGAAGCGTCTCATCCTGATGGCACATTGATATATCCATACAATACAAAGATTTTCTAACGTTCGTTAAATTGTCAAAAATATTTGTACCAAAAGAGACCCTGTTACAATCACTTATCCTCAAAGACCACGGTAACTTCTGCCTTTATATCTTTTCTGTTAACTTTTTTCTTCACATCATAAAATGTCTCTTCCTGAAATGACATATGCAAACAAATAAACGGACCTATAGTAGTTATAGCCATTACTCTAGATATCCTTTAATAGACAGTCTTCCTTTACGTTTAGCACTGGAAATGCACCCTTTATTGGTATTGACTGAATTATCACCATGCGTAGACCTGAATCCAGTGTGTATGTGTTGTCTTGTTTCTGCAGACTGTTATTGTAACCCTTTTGGTTCAGTCCATGATCGCTGTAATGACAGAGGATTTTGTGAGTGTAAGGAGGGAACATCAGGGCCTAAATGTGATAAATGTCTGCCGGGATATATCTGGCACGGCTTGGGCTGTCAACGTAAGTAACTCAGAGTCGCCCCTCTCCTGCAGCTTTGCTGCCTCTGCGTCTGTATGTTACCACGTGCAGCTACTTTAAGAGCAGAAAATGAGCAAAACGCTCTACGAGCTGTAAGAATGGCATACTGCCTGAATTATTTTGGAGAACCCAAGACAGTAAACTGACTGTGCCATCCTTTTATTTCAATATGCTTGCAGTGTCCTTTCTCTCCCTCTTGCTAATGCCTGGAGGAGCTCCCACTGATATATGAAAATATGCATTGTCTTGCCAACTATAGAATAAATTTTGTATACTAAAGTATCAGCATACTAACTCAAAATTTAAAATTTTTACTAAAAGACAGAAGGTGATATTTCTGAATGTTCCCTTTTCTTTGTACTAAACTTCAACTTCTTGAGTAATTAAACTACACTTTCATATTTTATAACTAAGATCTTTTCAGTATCCCCCTGGACAATAAATCTGCAAAACATTGGCTCATTATCTGTCATAATTAGTGAAAATTAAACAAAAGCTAAAGGTAACAAAAAATGGAATATCCTAACGTCCTTAAAAACACTTAATACCCTTAAAAATAAGAACTGAAATTTTGGATAAATACTGCTAGAGCAGACGTTTCAGTGCATAGTTGTATATTTAGCTTCTGGTTAACAGGTCTTGTAAACAAGTGAGTGGAAATATCACGCTGGTATATACAAGATCAGATTCTTATTGCAAAGGTTTTTTTCAGTCAATTCTTAAGATTTATTCTTTATAAGTATTTCAATCCAGAAACTGGAGAGTCCTCATTATTTTCTTTCACCTTTTCTCTCTGCATTCTTTCACACGTATGTTAAAGACAGATTTCTCTAAGAGCTTGCTTTTGATTTTTAATACCGAGAAACACGAGAGAGAATGTAATTACTGACACCAAATGTTAAAAAAATTGGCCATATATCCAACACAAATGCTCTAAACCAAATGCAAACATTATAAATTTAACAAAAAAAAAAAAAAAATCAGACAAGAAATAAAGCTAGAGATTACCACTGCCTCTTCAAGTGATGAGTACCTCTGAAGTATGAAATCTGGGCTTGTGACAATTCAGCAAATGTATCTGGAAAGAAATCCAATAAACATAGAAGTTGAAGAAAGATTGATAATTAACCAATTAACATTAATGACAGTATATGAAGAGAAAGGAAGTTTGCATGGGCAACACCATTAAATGTTACCTGAGAAAACTGGACTTCCTCAGCTTCTGCCAGAAATCTCCTGTTTATGTTTTGCAGGTTATTTCAACCATACTCTTCACATGTGGTTGTTAACTATATTGTCATTTTCTGGATGCTTGCACTTGAGTTTTGGTTTGTAAAATTATCGAGCACTTAGAGCTGCAGCAGAAAGCAGTTGAAGTATTGTTTTAAATCTCAGAGTTCTCTATTATTAATATTTATTATAATATTTTCTATTATAAGTATTTTGACAGATCAGATCCTAGGTATCAAAAAAAAAAAAAAAACAAAAAAAAAAAAAAACAACTAGAAATCCTAGGATCTCTCTCTGCCTTGCAGCCTCTCATGTAGAGGGAGGTTGACACCACCCCTGTACCTCACCCTAGGAACTGGCAAAATAAGCATTGGAACATGTTGAGCATTGACATATTCTAGTGACAGGGAAAAAAAATGGAAAAGGTCCATGGGGCAAATTTTACAGGCATATAATTAATATATAGACCAGCTTGTCAAATCAATAGCTTATTAATTGCAGGATTTCCTGTCTTTTCAGGTTTGGACATTATAACCTCAATGATATCCTTTTAATGAGGGTATTTTTTGAGTGCAACATATAATTACCCTGATTTTAGCTGAATCAGAGTATTTGTAAAAGCTTTAGACAGTTTCTGGAAATGCAAGCTAGTGCCTTTATATTTGCTGACAAAACTAATTAAGTTTCCCCTCACAGTGTTGTAATTTTCTGAACAAATCTCAATCTGATTGTGTAACTCAGATATTCTCCAAATTTGACCAAATTATCTGATCAAGTTCAAAAGCAAAGCAACTGGATGCAGTTGTCAATTTTATGGAACAGACATCAAATTGCCATGTTTTTAAATCACATGCTGATTTATATCTCATTTCAAGCTTTTTGATGGAGGAACAGAATTCCAAGTCATTTAATGTTGTAGTGGAGTAATTTTAGCTTTGTTTGTTATTTTCCCACCGAAATCTAAACAAATGACTGGGCAAGCAAGCAGAGCCCAATATATTAAAAAAAAAAAAAAAAAAAGAAACTCATTCTGCTGCCTTAGTAAAGCTCCAGAAGATTTGTCTGGACATGTAGCATGTGGTTTTGATCTGTTTCCCTGAGCTTCTGCTGTAAAGAAATGTATATATCCAAAGAAGGGTATACACACACACGCAACAGACCAGTATGTGCATGTTTATTTTTTGTTATATGTAGCTTATTGACATTTTTAAGAAAATCTATCATTACAGAGCTTTGTTGCTAAAAATCATTGACCTAAGGCAACCAGAGGCTTGACCTATGAATAAATAAATTAAATCTATACCACAGCCAGTTTAATTACTTGTATGATTGTATTAGTAAATGAAGTGGCTTAGTTTTATATATTAGTAAAGCTATTTTGGGGAAAAGTGACACTCAAGTCCTGTTGTGTTTTCTAAGGCTCACAATATATCATTTGATAAATTACTGTCAGAGTCTACCTTGTGCCACCCATGAGCAAAAGACACAGAAGCTATTAGCCTCTGAAGTATTCATTTAGGTACCTCATTCTTACTGTTTTAATCTAAAACCTCTGAGGATCTAGACATCACCTCATCACCTGGCACCTCTGTGCAGACAGAGGTGAGATGCAATTTTAGACTTTGCCTCCCAGATAAAAAGCACCATGAGAGCAGCTGTTCTCTTGTTGAATCCAGGCTGCATGGACATTGTGGTCAGCAGGGCCTGGTTGGGACAGGACAGACTGATGCCCTCAGAAAGGAGGATCAATAGATGCAACTGTGCCTTGTGCTACTTCTAAGACCTCCCACAGGACCCTTCACGCCCCAGGCATTGTGTACGTAGGAAAGCTGCTGGGGTTTAGCTCTCTGCCCCCTTCCCAGATACCAGTAATGGTTTTCTCACCAGCATGCACAGACACATCAAAGCCCAAGAATTAAGAACAGTCTGGTCCTGAAACCCTTTTAGAAAATCCATAGCTATAGTCCATTTTCTTTTTTATAGAAATTAAACTATTTCGTATTAAAATGAACATAAAAAAAAAAAAAAGAAAAAAAAAAAAAAAAAAAACTACTAAGAAAAAGCACTAGTCCTGGCAAGAAATTTTACCAGCAACTACATCTGTTTTGGCCCTGTCTTAAACTGAATATAGGGCTTTGTGATAAGAGGAACCTATAACAAAAGGTAGAAAAATTTACACATAAAAAAACTGCCTGAGGTTTAAAAATGATTGAAGGCAAAATATGAAGGAGGAGCATTCATTTGATTTTCTAAGGACTCATAATCTGGCATCTTTAGTATTTCTTGGTATGACACTTCAACTGACTAAATTCTGTTGCATACACACAGCAGCATTTGAAACCACCTTTTAATTTCATGCACACAAGGATTTACTCCAAACCAGCTGCATATTTATCATATATATATGCATAATTTTCATTAGGCAGGGTCATCCCAGAGGGGAAATGGTGAGGGAAGGTCCAATGATTAATATTACTCACTATCTCCCTTGATATAGTTGATGAGCAAATAAAGACCTTGAACCTGAGGCCCACAAAAGCCTAGGCTGAGTAGAAGAGTTACCAATGGTAGATTGTAGCCCAGTGTAATTCAGTGTGTTATTTATTGTCAACCACTGTTTAAAATCACCTTGGCTCAGGGATGTACATCTTAAGCAATTAGTGAATGAGCTTTCAGCCAGATGCCTCCTGTCAAGCTTCAAATAGTTGAGTTGATTTCCCCTTTTTTGCTCTTTTAAAAGTTTTTATTAAAGCAGGCAAAGGATTACACCCTTATCTTCATGCTCAAACTGTGCTGAGTGCTTGTATCTGTCTTCCAGGCTGAACTTGTATTACTCTGCAGCCTGTTAGATAATTCGTATTCTGTCACAGTGTGCATTCAACTTATTAGGTGATTATTTAAATATAAGCTTTTTTGTGTGCATTTTATCATGTGTTACAAACGTTAGAAGCTGAGGCATTTGATCAAAATCATCATGCAGATTGAATTGCCAAAGAAAACCTGAAATTTTAACCCTGGAATTTATATTAACAGTTGCTTTTGGAAGTTTATGTTTACAATTCCGCAAGAAAAGATAAGTTTCCGTCCACTCCTTAAGGGGGGAAAAAAAAAACCTTTCTTGAAAAAATACATTATGTGCTTCTTTCTAGACAGATTAAATACATAAATGTAATTGTCTCCCTCACTGAAGTTTAGTGATCCTTTATACATGGTTGTACACAGACGTATCCTGTGAGTCCTTCAATACCTACACGTTGAATTTCTGCCCGGGGAACTATGTTCTGTAAAAGGAAATAAAAATTCAGAACCAGGATGCCCTGTCTTCCAGTTCACCTTTGCAACTGCTTGTGTGCAGAGCCACAGACAACCTATCTGTGCCTTTTCCTGTCTTTTACATCTTTTTACCAGTAGAAGTTTCAATGTTTTTAGGTGGTCAGGATACGGTGGGATTTCCCCTCTTCACAGATGCTGCATGTACTTTGAGTTCTGGTGTGTTTTGGTGCCAGGGCTGGTGCTAGTTAGTGCACTGCCATGCTTGGAGCTGAAGGAAAGGAAACATGAAAAGAATTTATTGAAAAGGTTAAAGTTCTGATGGTGCTGAACACTGCTGTCCCTAAGGAACAATCTGTTTCTGGTCTTTATACATGAAGTACTGATTTCACAATACCTATCTTAGATGACTGTTAGGCAGACTAAAGAAACTGTGTGTGCATAGGGGTTTGGACATAAGAGGAACAGACTATGCGTCAAAT